AATGCACGATAATAATGGCGAAGGATCCAAACGCCATTGAATTCCCTATAAATTCCATGCGAAAGTGTTTTTGATCTCATCAAAACTGTAGTACCACCAAAATCTAGCTATGGCTTCTCCTGTCCTGCCGTCATCAACCCCAACTACTATTTCCAGCTCCTCCATTCAAACTTCCTTCTTTCCAAAAACATCTCAACTTTCCTTGAATAAGAAGATCAAAAAGCCAGACTACTCCGGCCCAAGTAAAGTAGTGTCATGCAAAGCCACGAACAATGGGAGCAAAGGAGACTCTTCTCTCAACAGGTTTGATAGAAGGGATCTCTTGATTGGGCTAGGAGGTCTCTACGGTGCAGCCAACCTTTCCAATGACCCATTCGCATTAGCAGCACCTATTGCCGCTCCTGACTTGACCCTTTGCGGTGATGCAACAATATCAGACACAACGAAAGAGACTGTCTTCTGCTGCCCACCAGAACCGACAAAGGTCATAGATTTCAAACCACCTACATTTTCCAAGTTACGCTATAGGCCTGCTGCACATTTAGTTGATCCTGACTACTTGGCTAAATTTACCAAGGCCATGGAGCTCATGAGAGCTCTTCCTGATGATGATCCTCGTAGTTTCAAGCAACAAGCAAATGTTCATTGTGCCTATTGTAACGGGGCTTATGATCAAGTAGGGTTTGATCAAGATATTCAAGTTCATTTCTCCTGGCTTTTTTTCCCATTCCATAGGTTGTATCTTTATTTCTATGAACGGATTTTGGGCAATCTGATTGGTGACCCAGATTTCGCCATGCCATTTTGGAACTGGGATGCCCCTGCAGGCATGCCTATACCTGCCATATTTGTAAACCCTAACTCTCCACTCTACGATGACAAGCGCAATGTTAACCATCAGCCACCAAAGGTTGCTGATCTTGATTACAATGGCACTGATAAAGAGATAACAGACAATGAGATGGTCCAAAGTAATCTCAAGGTCATGTACAAGCAGATGGTGTCTGGTTCAAAGACGGCTTCTCTTTTCCATGGAAAGGTGTACCGTGCTGGTGATAAACCTAGTCCAGGAGGGGGTGCCGTCGAGCTCGGTTCTCATACCGCGATTCACAGGTGGTGTGGAGACCCTAGACAAAAATATTCGGAAAACATGGGAAATTTCTATTCCGCAGGCAGAGACCCACTGTTTTATGCTCACCACTCCAATGTTGACCGAATGTGGTCAATTTGGAAGGGGTTACCAGGAAAGAAGCGAAATGATTTCACTGACACAGATTGGCTTGATGCCTCATTTGTTTTTTACGATGAGAATGCGAATCTTGTTCGTGCCAAGGTTCGTGATTGTCTTGACTCTAGAACGTTGGGGTACGATTATGATAGAGTTGATGTTCCATGGCTTAAAACTAAGCCAGTTCCTCGAAAGTTTTCCAAGAAAGGGGGAAGAGGTCATGGTCAGGCAGTGGCAGCTGAGACAAAGAACAAAAATGTTATACGCAATGCGTTCCCGATTGTTTTAGACAAAATAGTGAGCATTGAGATTCCAAGGCCAAAGAAATCAAGGACTAAGCTTGAAAAAGAAGAAGAAGAAGAAGTATTGGTGATAGAAGGCATTGAGTTAGACACAGCTACTCCGGTGAAAATTGATATTTACATTAATGATGAGGATGATGAGGCACCTAGTGGACCAGAAGATTCAGAGTTTGCAGGGAGCTTTACCAATGTGCCCCATAGCCATAGCCATTCGAAGAAGTTGGAGACAAGTTTTTCTTTGGCAATATCAGAGGTGTTGGAGGATTTGGATGTTGAAGGTGATGATAACATTGTGGTGACTTTGGTGCCTAGAGAAGGGAAGGGTCTTGTTTCGGTCGGCAACATCAAGGTTGACTATATCCGAGAATGATCGGTTCATTGCTCTTTCGTTGCTTCCCTATCTACTTTAGGGAAATGTTTTCCTTGATCCTTAGTGCTTCTTGAGATCGATCCAATCAGTCTCTTGTTCCCTTGTTTTATATATCAATGTGTGTCGAAGTATAAATAAGGCCATTAAGTCTAAGACCATAGAACCTTATATGGCATGTTCTTAGTAAGAAGACCTATCTTCGATTTTATGTTCGGGCTTTTCATGCATGTATTATGTGAATGAGTTTGGATAAATGCATGAGGTGGTTCCTTTTCATGTTCAACAATAAATAAGAAACTCGTAGCTTATTATTTAGTGTACTTGTTCATATATATTTTTTTGATTTATTATTATTTTTTTAATTAAAAAAATATTTAAATTTTACTCTTTAAATAAAAAATTATACATCAATGATCTAAAACTAATACCAGAGCAATGAAGCAAGAATGATTACAAGGGTAAAGTCTATAAGTTTACCCTAGATTATCTGTAAGAGCAATTTTTATATGCTTATTTTATATTTTATTTCTTTGCCATCTGAATTAGCCCCACACCGATTATTAGTTTTATGCTAACGTTTCCCATATTAATCATATTAAAAGTTGTTTTGGTCAAAGTCTTAGTATTAAAAAAAAGGGGGGAAAATTAGGCATTTGTTCTTCATGGGAAGTTTATGGTTTTGTTTGTTCTTGACCATCATTCCATAGAGAAGGATCGTCTCGTCTCTCTTGTCGTGAAACGGCCTCACACGGTACTTCACCTGTCTTTCGTTTCCGCTGACAATGATCTCGCACGGTACGTAACTGTAGGAGTTAGGTTAATTGCTATCAGGGGGATAGGAAAAAACCAACAAGTCTTGCCAAAACAAATACAGTGACTGCTGCAATCAGCACAAACTGTCATCTCAGAGAATGAAAATTTCAAAGCATACAAAAACCTGCCATTTCCTTGTAAGCTTTCTTTCTGAGGTGTACACCTTGGGCCTTGACGTATCAATTAGGGGGAGTGGTATTCTTTTACCTGCTAGTGGGAGACTACTCTACTTTTTTGTGTCTCTGTCACCCACCGCTGAAGGAGGACAGAGATTTTTAATGCACTATTTAATATTTATACAACATGCATATACTAATTAATCTATCAAAATTTGTTAGGCAATGAAGTATCATTTTCATTTTATAGCACATAAGAGTGGGCAAAAAGCCCCCACTAGCAATATCTAGGCACACCATGTTGAAGCAAAAGCCAACAGATGGAGAAGGTTTGAATTATTTTTCGTTCATTCATTGATGAGTTAATTATTTTTTCGGTTGACCACGATCTGAAGGGAATAAAGCCTGACTTTTACTCGTTTTAGGAGATTGGATAAGAACCCTAGTTATTAGGATCTGCCTCCCTAAGAACGGTGGGTGAACCAACCCGGTCAAGCCCTATTTAATGCTATAGAATACTGGTATCCATTCTTTCAACTAAGGGGTATATATATATATATATATATATATATATATATTAAAATTACTATAGGTTTGGTGCTTTGTGAAAAGATTCTTGTGTTCAGGCTTTGGGAAGAAAAGAGATAAAGAAATGGTACAAGAGAGAAAAAAGTCGATGTCCTATAAATATATAAAGATAAGTAAGTACTTCCTATGGTTATTTTATTAGAGACACAAAATTGGATCCACCAAAAGCAAAGAAACCGACAAAAAACAAATCAATGCACGATGTTTTTGTCGGGGGGTTGGGGATAGTTTTCCTTTGCTAAGGTAACCCATCATGAAGGGATTTATGGCCTTTTGGAAATAGGCTAACGGGTCCAATGTGGATGCAAAGGTGATGGTCCGAGCAGATGGCTTGATGGACAAAATATCGGGCTCCTTGATAGAGCCCAATATTAAGTTATAAATTTGTTTTTTACTAAGATTTCGATTGGTAAATTGAAAATTAATTTATCGTGAAAAATATGTTATTAAAAATATAATATTTTTTGGTTGTTACACTAAACTAAGAAAAATATTTTCTGTTAATTGAAACTTTAACGTGTTGAAAATATTTTCTAACACCATTTATATCTTCAAGCATTTTCTACCATGATGTCATTAAAATATCAATAGAAAATATATTGAGAAGGAAGGGTCGAAGGGCCGTCATTAAAGGGATGGTAGAGTGGAAGGTTTGTTTTTGAGAAATTGTCTTACGTTTTTAGAGGACATAAGACAATTTTCCGGAGTTAACGAGTTTGATTCTGTGTACTTAAATATTTTTTTACATTTTTCTCTTTAAAAACATGGGAAAAATGCTAAAGAGATTTTTCGAAAAAGCATTTTCATGCTTTCTAAATGAAGTCTATTCTAATTATATATTTACATTTTTTTTTAACAACAAAACGGAGTGTATTTGGATATAAGCTCAGCAATGCGAACTTGTGACTCCTATAAGCTCCGCAATGCAAACCACCAGGCTTCCTGAACTGGTTACAATGGGGCATTGAATATGTATTTGATTCGAACAAAAAATCGAGCATGCTTGAAACCATGTACGAGGGAAATGGTAGGGAATCAGAGAAAGCACTTGGTTCAATCGAGAACATTTCCTCATGTACCATGTTCACAGATGGTGTAGGAGATGATAAACATTGATGGCTCCCTCTTATCAGCAGGCCAACCTAGACAGGATGTGGTCCAATTTGGAAGATGATAAAACATTGATAGAACAGAAGAAGGACTACTTTCAGCGACCTGGATCGTCTTTGATTCTTCATTTATTTTGTAAGATGAAATTTGCAATTCCTCTTCATCTCCTCTCTTCTATGTCTTCTCTGAAATATGACAGTATGTAACCTGTAATCATCTTTTCCCAGAAACAACGAGAAAGACTGGAAAATATCTCATAAAACATAGTATTTTACAATCTCAAGCGGGGGAGTTTACTGGTTTCTTTAAAGCCTGTTTCAAACACCCGAAGCCGTTCTAGTTTCCTAGTTCATCAAAATCACAAACTCGAACAAAAGTAGCCTTAATTTACAAAGCCCTTGGGAAAATGATGCTTCGATTCCTCAAGTTTTCTCTTACTATATTATTAATGTAATACTACTTTACATGTATAGGTATAAGGATTACTGGTGTTGGGGATCAGTCTCGATTTCGCGAGCCAGTTCTCGGGTCAGCTTGTCTGCACGATCATCATGTCCTCCGGCAAACGTATAAACCCGGAAAGCGAATTGGAAAGCCCTCCATAGCATTTTAGCGCACACTTTCTTTTGTGCTTCAGCTTTGGTTTTGGACCCTTTGTTCTCTGCTAACTTTACTTTTCTTTCCTGAATTGAGTCCAAAATAGGAAAATCCACTTTGATTAATGTGCCAGGCGGACACAATACCTAGTTATTTTTATGACATATATTCTGAATCGAAATACCTTCAGTGCCAACTCCATGCAATTGGAGGAAACATCAACCATTGCTTCTTTGATTCGTACAAAAATTTGGAAGTCAAAATCGATATTGTGGCTCTTAAATTTCTTGGACTCTTCATCTTTAGTTCGCTCCAGGGCATCTATTTCATCTTTCATCTGTAAGTAATTGTTAATTTATGCATTTTGGTTAGTGGTGAAGAATGCCTCCGAAGGTAATGATCAGAATGGTATTATTACATATCTTATGTTTATTCTAGAGCAAAAACATACCTTGTTGAAGTAGCGTTCAACCTTGTCAAGAAGCTGTCCCAAAGGAGGTTCAATCTTCCAGTTTTGTAGCTCAGTAATCATTGATTCTAGCTTCGAGTACAGTGCTGATGCTGTCCTTAATGCTTCCAATTTTTTTGTAGGGAAGCCTTCAAACCTTGCTAGAACCTGCAATCGAAAACATTTGGAGGTCAGACAAACGATTCAGGAAGTGATAGAATCATCACTAAATAGGGCAATAAAATGTAGATAATTAAGCTAAATAGACAAGCTCAAATTCACCTGAGTTTCATCTGTTAAGTTCTCGAGAATGGATTCCACATGTTTGTGGAACTCGAGCAGCTTAGTCATGTCCTTTGTATTGAATGTGATGATGGCAGTTCTGAGCGTTGTGATTGCTTGTGCATATTTCTGAACATCTTCTTCAATTTGTTGGAAGTAAGCTGATCTGAGACCCAAAAAAAAATAAAGAGAAAAGAATCTAATGAGCCACTTATTTCACAAAATAACCATGATTTTTAAAACAAAATTCACTAATATAAGGTTCAGGGGCCTATTATTTATTAGAGAGCTGTGAGCAACACACCTCTTTGTCATCTCTGCTAATGCGTCAGCCATCCCTTGTTTTCCAGAGGTGCTTCTTCCAGCCCCACTTTTTTTTCCGTCAGGTGATTTACCTTGCACGGAATATCCTTCCACTTTGCCCTTAAGAACCCGATACAAATTACCTATGTGACTTGATCTCTTCAATTTAGTATTTGCTTTCTTGGGGCGCAAGGATTTTGGTGCACCAGGTGGAGGAGGTGGTGGAACAGCTCCATTTGCCAGTGACATGGGTGGTGGTGGTGGTGGCAATGGTACTGATCCTTTTGAAAGCGTCATAGGCGGTGGAGGTGGTGGTATTACTGATGCAGCTCCTGATACCTTAGGAAGAGGTGGTGGTGGTGGTGGAAGTTGTGCTCTTGTTGCTACTATCTTTGACTGCAGTGAAACTGGAGGTGGTGGTGGAAGGGATGCTCCTGTCGCCACTACATTTGACTGCAATGGAGCTGGAGGTGGCGGCGGCGGCGGAATTGGTATTCCAGTTGCTGCTTTATTTGTCATCGTTGAAAGTGGTGAGGGCGGCTGTGGTTCTGCTGCTACTGATGTTGGTTGTGCAGCTTCTGCACCTGCTTGCCACATTGGGAGAGGGGTTGGGGGAAATGGTGGTCGCCCTGCTACTACATTTGGCTGAAAGAATGGTGGTGGTGGCGGCGGAGGCGGCGGAAGTTGTCTTTTGTCTATTTCCATATCTGTTGACAACTTTGCTGGCTTTGATGGTGGGAGTGACGGTAAAACTTCTGCTGATGGTGGTGGATGTAGACGTCCTATGTCTGTCTCCATATCTGTTGACAACTTTTCTGGCTGTGATGGTAGGACTGGCGTTACAACTTCTGGTGGTGTTGGTGGTAATTTTTCTTCAGCTTCTTGCATGTCTTTCCACAACTCGGGAGGTTGCTTCTCCGATGGTGATGATGGTGGTGTTGGAGCTACATTTGGTGAGAACTTTGGTGGTTCTGTATTGTTTCCATGATCAGTAATTGTGTCACCCGGTACATTGTTTGAAATGGAAAGTAAATCCTCTGATGTCTCAGTTTGTGAAGTGGAATTTCTTCTTTCATCTTCTTCCTTTTGATCCTCAATCGTAATCTTCTTTGGACTCAAAGCGCTGGGAACTTGGACTCCAACATTCGGAAGCATGTGTAATGTGAGTCGCTTCACATCAATGGGGTTCAGTTTTCCCACTGCTTGAACCCTGAGGGACAACAGAAGAGATGAAGAATAAGGAGATTTTGGAGTACCATTAATCAACTCAGGAAGGACCGAAGTTGGTGTCACTGGAGAAGGGCAGCAGGAGCAGTTGTCTGAATAAGAATCTTTCAAGACCTTTCCAAATGTGTTAGCCTCTGGACTAAAATCTTTCTTTTCTTCATCTTCATCCATCATGTCAAACTTCTCCCTTGCTATCTTAATCAAGCCATTGAGTGTAGCCACAGCAATTTCAACTGCCAAAGGAAAAAGGCGGGAAAATATTGGAAAAACTGTCATCAACTTCAATCATAAGGTAACTGGACTCCTTTTGGATACCAGAGCAGAGGAAAATGATAAACACAAACGAAGATGTACCCAAATATGCTTGAAAGTGATTCCTTTCTTCAAAACCCTTAAATAAAATTTTCTTTGCTTTTGATGAGATTCAAACAAAGGCATAAGGCACAATAAATAGTGATTGCCAACAGGTAACAACATCCTTGACAAAATTTCCTACATACCAAGTTTTTCATTGTTTTTGCTTTTTTCATTGTCGTATATATCATATCTATATTTGTCAATCCACTCATCGTTCATTTTTGAAGCATCTCCAAGGTCTTGCAATGCCTTGCAAAAGTAGGTCAGAACCTGTTTAGGCATTTCATGTAGATTGTTAGCATAGGATTGCCATCCAAATCGCTATTTCAGCTAATTTTATGAAAAAGGGGCAAAACCTGATCAAAAGGTAATGCCTTCAACTCTGACCAACGGAAGTGGGGTATGCTTTCAGGGTAGAACTTATGGAGATCGTTCATTGTCCCTAGCATCAGCTGCAGAGAGATGTAGAAAGATACAACTATTGAAACCAAACTCAAGAGAAGGTATTTGTGCTACTGCAAGAGAGTTTGCTGAAGAAGAAGGCAACAGTACCTCATCCGTGGAAACAGAGGTAGTACAAGGTGGTAGGTCAATGATGTCTCTAAAGGTTATAATTTTTTTCCTGAGCTCCATCATCAAAATGAAGTTGCATGCTGGTTGAGCTGAACTATCCTTCCTCAAGCCTTTCATTTCCTTTTGATTCTTGGATACCTTAGATTTCTGGGAGGTTTTCAGTGCCTGCAGAAGTTCAAATTTTCTTTCAGGATGCATTTTTTGTGAAGTATCTTATACCATTAGGATTTTAATTACTTCAGCATGCCTCACACGTATGCATATTCCGAATATAGCCCATTAAAAGATTGAAGGAGAAGGAAAAAAGGAAAATTGCTCGTTTGGTTGATTCTTTCAGTCAGGGAGCTTACATGGAATTGCATTTCTTTCTGCAATTTGCAGGTTCTTATTTAGGCCTTCTGAAGTGGTATGCAGATCTTAATATGCTACAACAACTCGTGCAATCATTCAATGAAAGATTGTGTAGCAATGAGAAAGTTGTAGAAATTTAAGCTACAGAAAAACCATGAGAACTCAAGGAAAATGGAAAAGCCAACTTTGTCAAAACTGGAAGTTTGAGTGTTATCAGAAATGGCCATGTAACAAGTAAACATGTTCTTCACCATGCCAAAATGCTAGATTGGACTGAATGTAAGAATTTTAACAAGGCTGCCTTACACCGGAACAACTCTGGGTCTGAATGGTCTTGTTGACTTGTGCATTTTAGAAAATAGTTTTGCAGATTAAACAATACTATCTTTCCCCCTTTCAAACTAGACAAAGAATAATTAAATGCAATAGAGCAATTTAAAAAATATTACCTTGACAAATTTTAATGGTTTGCGACCAAAAAACATTGGTGCCAAACCACAGCAAGTTGCTGGCATGATCAATAAAACGCCCACGAAAATTTTATGAAGGCTTCAACAGAACAATGATGGTGGTGAAGATGATAATGTTGACATTCGATGATCATTTAAAAAATATATATTTACACGAGAAAAACAAGAGGAGAATTCCAAGATTTTGTGCAAATAAACAAAAGGGAAAGATTCAGAAACCCAGTTGGGGTGTGCATGAAAAAGAAATCATTTCGTGCAGCGCATGAGGCAGGCTAGCTGGCTGTGTGGCCTGAAACAAAACAATCCTTAAATGACAAAGACAAACAATTATTTCGACATTGTTTGGAACTTTCTCTAAAAAGAGAAGAGTCAAGGATAGAAAAAGGGAAAGGAAGGCTTATTTATGGAGGGCACCCCTTCTATCTTGTTCAAAGGGTGTCTCTGTCTCGTACCCTTTGTTTGTTTTTGTTGTTATTCGTGGTTTACTGTCTGTGCTTTAAGAGTTAGTTTTCAAAGTCTTAACTAATCCTTTATATATGGTTTAAATTTGGACGGTCGCCAGCTAAACTGCAAAAGCTCGTCCGCTTTTGTCAGAATGTTATGAGTTTGTTAATTATCATCATTCATGTCAAAATGTAACAAGGGGATGTTCCTCTTGTTTTCCCAATTTTTCTATATTTAATTCGCCTTTATTCTTTAGGCTGCATTGCATTGATGGGTATTATTTCATGTGTTTGATGAACTATGGTCAGTTAAATATGGTAAACTATAGAGCGGTGGGCAAACCTTACAGTAGTCCAAGAAATCATGGGATGACAACCCATGGTTTGTTCTCTTTATTTCATTTTTCTAACTTGAGAAAATGTTTTCCTAAATGTAAAACAAAATCAGGAGACAGTTGCCCTATTGAAGCTATACCCTAATTATGCATTCAGTATCTTGATTTAACCTGTCTCTTTTCTTAAAAGGCATACTGTTTTGGAGATTTTTGGCATCCAAGTTTGATCCCTTTTAGTTAGAATTATAATTAGTACCTCAAATTTGGTTTGTTTAATTTAATCATGGTAATGTATAGCAGTGGTCAGAATGATAGTCAATGATCATGGCTGATAGTGAAAATTTATTCTGTCCAGCATTAGCATTTGATCAGGTGGATTGATTTAGTTGACGATTCCTATGTAGCAATAGATTCTTGAAGGTAGCAGTTACAAAAGGACAACCAATCCTGACAATTTCGGCTTGGCTTCCTTGAATCTTTCCACAAATTTACTATTTTTATGTTTTGATCGTTAGGAAAGACAGCAGTATGCTGTTTAACCATATTTACCAGACCCGTTCCTTCAACCTCCTGAGTTAGTTCAGTCGAAATGGCATACCAAAATTAGCTTTAAACAATGGCAAGAAGGTCAGTTGAAATACGAGGCAATCACTGATGATCATGCATTATATATCTCAATAAGAAGTCTTGAAGTATACAATGGGAAGAGACCACCTTATTTCCATGACAATAATGAGACATTCTGAAACAGTAAAAGACAAATTGAGGGGAGTAGAGGAGATACATGAAGAACTAATGACTCTACATGTTTATGAACTTATTTAGTATTTATAAATTCTTAAAACGAACACTGGTAGAATGAATTGCAGGTGTAACTCAGAAATATTGACAATGTATACAGTAAAAGCTGATATGAAGTGGAAAACTGTGCAATGAGGGTTGTTCATGAATAGCCGCAAAAGGTAAAACATGAGTGAGGGGTGCTTGTTTCCTTGTTTGAGAGATTTCAGGATTGAATCCCATCCTCATCAAATGCAACGGGCTTCCCAAATAAGTGCTAGATATCGTCAAAGAGGATCACAACCATCCAGAAGATCAAGCATCTTTGAGGCTACTTTCTTAAGATGCCCTGAGTTTGACAGAACTCACCCTGTTTGTTGCTTGAGCTGTGGAAAGATTTTTGTTCTTATCACTCTTTATTGAACTTTTTGCTGCTTTATTTTCTAATGGAACTTTCTTGGATGCAGATGAAGAATAACCACAGGCTGCAGTTCTCTCAGCAATTCTTTTCTGCCGTTCAATCAATAATTCTTCCATCTTCTTCCGCATTTCTTCCTCCTGTTGACAGGCATTTTATATTAGGAGCTAGAAAGGAAAAAAAGGGAAAGGGTTATATAAAACCATATTGGTTGGAAGAAATATTAACCCTTACCTTCTCCAACTTGCTCTTCTGAATTGTGGACCTACTAACAAGAGATGGTTTCTTGCTCTTAGACATAATTTCAGCTTTGCTCTTCCCTAGGGATCCATTCAGAACTTTAGACCTTGCTTCTTTTGCTGGCTTTTTAGTTCCGAGGACACCATTAGGCTTGACAATGGTGTTCTTATGATTGGAAGGAACCTTCTCATCTGAATGTTTGCTAGCTGCACTTCTATCAGGTTCTGAGAATGATAAGTCAATTTGATAATCCATTGTCCAGGAGTCTCTGGAAGACTCATATCCAGGATTCCGTTCAAGTACCATGCAAAGATCATTTGAGTCATGGGAATCAAGTACCTTCCGCACATCTTGTGAAGCATTTGTGTTGCCATCTGGGTTGCTAGGTGAAGTTAAATTTGCAACCACACTTATATCTGTTTTCCATTGGGAATCATCTTGATCATCAACTGCTGGTCGAGCTGCTACCATGAAAGAATCATCAATAAGAATATCTTTCCTACTTTTCTGAGAATACAAAGGATCACTCTCCATGGATAAAATGTTATCACCATTTAAAGGCATCTGATTATTGGCTGAATCCTGGTTTTCTGGCTTTACAGAGTGATTGCCAACAAACCAATGTTCTTCCTTTCCAGATCTGATTACAGATGACTTATTGGCACAAGTAGATAAGAGATTACCAAGCTTATTTCCTGATTCTTCCAATCTCTCTGGATACAACAAATCCACTTCCACACAGTCCCCTCTCTTCATGACGGGATGATAATTCTCTCCATTATCAAAATCGTCCAACTTCATCCTAGTCTCATTTTTCCCATCCCTCTCAGTCATGACAAAAGAGTCACCAAAAACCGTCCGCCGACTTGGAACTTTCTGTGATTCCAAGTTCACAGCAGGAGTGGTTGCAGAAATTTCTCCATCAAAGTTTCTGGCCATGAAATGTTCCTGAACATCCTCAGCTTGCTTCCATTCTACTTCATTCACACTCATACTTTCTTCATCCCTCATAAGAAGGTTTTGGAGAGCAGCCCAATTTTCATTTCTTTTTCCTTCCTCTGATGTATTTACATCAAGGTCATTAGAGTCTCCCTGATAAGATGCATCATTTGATTTATTTGCAATGTGGTGGCTCTTTTCTGCTCCTCTTCTTTTGTTATAACTTGAGTTTAACTTGCTCGATTCCTTCAAAGACTTAACAGCATCATCCACTGTCTGTTTAAAGGAATCTGTATCAATTAGGTCGTCCTCACCTGAATAAGAACCATCCGAAAATTGACCTTTCTCTCCGCTTCTCCTCTTAGGCGTGATGTAGTTAATATTGCGGATGACAACTGTTCTGGATGACTTTTTATGGTTTTTTCTCCGATATGGAGGATCTGGTGATGACTGCTTTCTGTCTTCCTCTTGCCCATATGAACTTGAATCACTTTCAGAGCCAGACCCACTAGATTGAGTTTGTCTTTCTTCTCCTGAATATTCAAGTCCCTTTCCATTTGACAATTTCTTCTTTTGCCTGGAAGCTGACTTCTGATTTCTGCTAGGAGTCCACTGCATATTCATCGGATATGGCAGCGGTACAGGCTGCATCGGATGGAAAGGATATCCCTGACATGGAGGTAGTTGTTGAACAGGACCTTGTAAATTGTACATATGCTGAGGTATCTGATTTGTCCAATGCATTGGCACTTGATATTTTGTGGTAGGTGGTGGCGTCTGATCTGATGCAGGCAAATTCTCATCTGCATGTACATCAAAGAAGCCAAACATTACCAATTGGAATATTAACAGATTTTGTATCTAGTGAAAATAAGGGAATATATGCTTGCCATTATCACATGTTCTAAGAAGCATAGTTCTTTCCCCAAAGTATATCCTATATTCCATTAATGTCCGATATGTTATGAAAGAAGTTAGAATGTTTCCAACTTGTTGATGTTCAGTATGTCAAGCACGAAGTATGAATGTTTCCAAAGCAGGAATCAGGTATATGCTTTGTGTTTCTACAGACAAGCGCAAGTGAGTCAAAAACAAAAAGCAGTCTGCCATCCACATGGTAACAGGAATGATTATGATAATGAGATGTATTATAGTGCAAAGTAGCCTAAGTATTAACTTAACAGAAGCACAACTGTAAAAATGGTTGTTGTCAAGCTATAAAGAAAAGGCAGGGAAAAGCCGTAAGCCTGTCAAACACCTTTCTTGCAGTCCACAGCTGATGCTTCTGAAGATTCATTTGGAGCATGATCACCTGTAGATGCACCATTGATGGGGAAATTTGACATGATACTTGGACTAGGGATGCTAATTCCATTTGCAAGCACAATGCCAGATGTTCCTAATAATGGCAGTTCTGATGGTGAGCATGCCTCCACCGCAGCTAATTCCTCCATCCAAAGACGATCTGCATGTTTTTTCTTGCATAATTCCTTGAAATTAATGCATGCTTCCCTACAAATAGCCAATGCTCAATTATAAGATTCAAATTGGGCCGGATATCAGGAAAAGGAAAATTAAATTTGCAGGGCTTAGGTGGAAGTAGTTTATGACAGCCAAACCACTTCAGTGCACCTGAAGCATGGTGATGTCCTTTTTAAAGACAATTTTGGGGTACAGAAGAGCAATTCATCAAATTCATCACGAACTGAGGAATTAAGACCTAATTTTAATTCTTACAGTGGTGAAGTGTAATATAAAATCAGCCAAGAGGTCCAAGACATCAAGCATCTTAAGCAATAGGGCATCTAGCCTTGCCTTGTAGCCCAAAATAAAGTGAAAAAGGAAAAAGAAAGACTGTAATTAAAAGCATTGAAGGTCACAATTAAGTTTCTAGAAATTGAATACAAAATATGTTATGGTAAAAAATTAGTCAAGCAGTGAAAGATTCTGTTTTCTTATCTCTGGACAAAGAAAGATAAGAAAGAAGAATATGAAATTGTACTGCTAAGAACATGATATTTCAACCACTTTCATGTTTAGCCAAATTTATTTTGTTTTTCCTTACTTCAATTATCACATGATAATATTTATAGTTATGGTTCATAGTTCATACTTTAACCTGGAGGCTCCAAATGCATCTGCAAAGGAAATGAGATGTTCCATATTCTCCATTGCAAATCCAGCAACCAGCCCACGAGCATAAGTCATTGCTTGCTCTTTCCTGAGCAAGGCTTTCCGAGTCTCCAATAGCCGTTGAAGTTGAATCCTAGCCATGAAAATGACAGAATGAATCAATGATTAGGGTATTTAATTCACTAGGAGACTTGGAGTGAGAATTAGTATAACCCAATTTAGGGAATTTAAGGATAAGATAAGTTACTTGGAATTCTCTTCACGTGCAATGTCATCTGTTGTCTTGAGTTCACCATTTACCTGATAACAAACGCAAAAGAATAATACGAAAAAAATATATGTAAATTTCTGAAAAATTAAAAAAAATCACATGTAATCTATGAATTTTTTTTTTTAAAAAGGGAATACCTTGGTAAAATCAGTTGAATTCCTTGTATTACCATTGGCATCTGACATAGACCCAAAAAACAAAACCAATTAGGAGATAAAATACAATTTTTGAATAGTAAATTAAGTTAGCAGTTTTGAACAAACAAGCAATTACAGCCCAAAAGCAAACTTTTGCTAACAAAAATTGAAGTCTTTGAGTTTGAGCAGACCTTCTTCCTGCCTTCCATCAACATTAGCGTTCAGTTCATTAGCTTGAACTGATCCCTCAATCTGCAAGATTTCTCTTTCTATACTGACGAACCTTTCAAGAACTGCTGGGGTGCTAACAAAGCGCACAAATCTACAATACAAAGAAAATTTTTAATGCTAACCTTACTTAGACTTAGTCTAGAAGCACTTTCAGTTAAGCTTTCAGCCCCTAATGAACTAGCTTATCAGAACCCAACATCAGATTGCAGTGCTTGGTACATTTTATCAGAATCCAACAAATGCAAGGACTAAATGCCTGATTTCCCATTTGATTAGCCAAGTCAATGACAAAACTTGAGTTTTTGGAGATAAATTGGCATCAAAAATTGATTTGTTCATATATGAAATCCAAGAATAAATGTACAGATAAAAATCATAGCACATACAGAGAATTTAGATCGATGAACTCTGGCCTCATTGAAACTTAAATCATTCAGTCATTCTCACTAAAGATAAACTCGAACTCTGATGAAGAAGAAAAGAAGAAATGAATCGAGAGTCAGTTGCAACTTACCTTTCAAAGGTAGCTTTGGTGAACCAGGGGGCACCAGGGGCAGGTGGCTGCAGAGTAATCGAGTACCCACCTTTTGAAATCTGATCTCTTGCAAATTTGAGGTGAGAAATGAATGGGTCAAAAAGCCCTGAAGCAAGTTTCTCATTCTTTCCCTTGGAGAAGAGCACCAGATCAAATCTTGACAATCCCAACAAAAAAAAGGAAAAACCAGAACACATTAAACCAAAGTAAAAGAACAGAAACATTCTCTGCTTCTAAAAAGACCAAGACAAAAAAAAAAAAAAACAAAGTTCAGTTCTTCATCGCAGAATTTGCATGAAAGTGTAGTTGCTCACCTTGTTCGAGTAGGAGTGAGTTGAAACAAAGCACGATCAAGGAGAGCCGTTGAGTCCATTGTTTAGAGCAATCAATCAAAAAAGCATGATAACTGGGGAGTTTGACGTTGTAGAGTAAAAATATTCCTGAAGTAGAGTGGAAGCTATAGTGTTTATTAGGGGAAAACAGTGTGGGCAAAGCGGCAAAGTGAAAGAGTTAATGGACGTGTTAGTCACACTGTCAAGGATGTAGATTTTGTGTGTAAGAATGAACAACTGTACATGAATGTGAATGAAAGAGAAAGCAACGACAGTGAGAGAGAGAGAGAGAGAGCGCGAAAGCCAGAAGAAGATGATGAAGCTTTGCACATGCAGAGTGATAGGGAAATGAAGGCCCACAAATAATGCTAGCAATAATTGTTTCTCTCTTATGCTATCAAAATTTATCTTTTTTCAATTTTTTATTGAAAGTTAATGTTTTAATTAGTATAATAATTATATTAGCAACTAACATACATACTTATGAAATTAATCATAAGAAATTGCCCAAGATTCTATGAGGATTATTTATATATAATTAATGGAGAGTGGTTGTCAATTTGAGCTTTATTTAACAAACTTCTCATTAATTTCTTAAAATATTAAGTGCAATAAATGTTGTTAGCTTTCTTTTTCTAAACGTATTAAACCATAATTGACTATTATTATTATTATAATAAAAAATTATTTTTTAAAAAATTGAATTAAATAATTTACGAAACAAATGCAGTAAATAAAACACTTACTTCTTGAAGATTTTTTAAATAACTACATGTAACTTTATAAGATTATGATAAATTTCATAAGATTATTTATGATACTTTATTCTAGATTAGATGCGAAGGTGGCTATTAAGATTTATAAAGTTTAAAATCAATTATTATTAGTAATTTAAATTTAAATTTTTAAAAATTACATTATTAAAATTTAAAAAATTGTTACGTCAATAATAATTTGAACTCGAATTATTATTTTGTCATATTAATTAAAAGAAAAAGTTAAAGCTGATCATCAAATTGGTATAATTAAAGATCTTTCAAGTGTAGGAAAAGAAGATAATAGAGATATAAAAAACCACTCAAAGCTGAATTAATGTTTTCAAAAAGCAAAAGAGCATAGTATCATGCAAATGGTCCCTCAATCTCAAATCAACTTTCAATTTTCCATTGCACGTGAAGGGAAGTTGAAAGAGAAATCCAAGGAAATGGCCCAATGGGTTGAAAAATTCTTCTTTGTAAAATAGGGTTTGGAAGATTTTGTAATGGTAGGTTTGTACCTCCTCCTCATCTTTTATTAGGCAATGAGAATATAGGCCACAAAGTTTCCAAGAAAAATGTAGCACCGATCATCATCATGTATCATCAAGATGTAGATGCTGTCCCTTTTTGGCTCTTTAATTACTATGCAAGGTTTCTCCATCACTTGATTATATATAGTAAACTTAGTAGAAATTTCATTTGAAATTTATGCCAAGCTATTCAAAGTTTATTCCCTCTTGGATCTACCAATGGGGCATCACTAGGATCTTGTTTCCTTTGTAGTTTGTATTTTGTGTGGAGCCAACTATGAGACAGCTATGTATCAAACCTTAGCTGGATACAATGACATTTTTCCTATTGAGATCTATGACCGCTCCCCTCTATTATTCTCTTGTATTACCAATAATTTATTGGTAAATGTGGGGTTAAAGAGTGGACAAGCATACATAGACATAGTTTCTAAAGAAGAAGCCAAAGTTATCTTTTGGAATTTGATTTTCTTCTGCATTTGCAATGTACTGATTCAGATTCTTTAACATAAATATCTCATTTCCCTGCAATTTCAACCTGCCCCCAATGGGTGAAAAGTTTGTTGTTTGCATTATTTTCTTCATAATTTCGCAATTGCATACCAAATGTACATGAACCATGTGCTCATGCAAGTTCTAGTTAATTCCGGAAACTTTTATAATATTCCCCTTAGCTTCCAATCAAAGGTCAACTTTAGGCACATGACTTTCACAGCAGATCAGTAAAATTTTCCTTCATTCCTTCCTTGTTATCTCTTTTCCATCCTAGCATAGTTGACCTACCAAGGACAAGACAAAGTATGGTGACAAAGTTCTTTATACATTGAATGGCCATATGTTGCTTCTGCTACAAGTTAAATCGCTGTAATAACTTGAAAGTTACAAACCTGTCATTGTTCGACGGAGGAACAGAACCGTCCTTGCAGATTTGACGATTAAAAGTGAAATTTGTCCATATTACATGATCTTGACATACTTAACCATAAGTCAGTCGTGGATTCATTGACTCCCCTTTGTTTTCTTCAGGGTTCTAGCCTGATCAACGTTTTCCATTTGAGTTCAAAGGCTAAAACGTGTGCCTTCCAGCCAGAAATATATGGTTCCATTTAGGGGTTGAGAGGGGCCAGAAGACACTTGGATTCCCCGGCCTGGCAAAGCTAGAGTTCCCTGTGTTAGGCCCATGCTTCATGCACCAAGCAAAAAGGTTTCGTGGAATTGGCCCGAACAGAGGAAGTGCAGTAGTCAATGCTGAAACTAGAATAGAAAAAGCAGGTGGGGTTTACTTCTTCTAAAAATGATGGAGTTTCAGGCAAAGATCTCGTGTTTAGTCTCAAATCTGAATGACCAAAAGCTTCTAACTTTTGGAGGTGAAACCCATCTTTGGGATCTAAAGACAATTCTCTTTCTTGATGTGGAGGTATCGGCAGGGCAGGGGGCAGAGCCCGGTCAAGAAAGAATTCAAAAAAGTTGATATGAAACCGAGTTCATTTTGATTTCCACATTCCCGAGTTCATATGACTAGAAAAGTTAGGCTAAAGCACTACTACTCAGTCGCATGGTTTGCTCAAAGTTTCTGTGATAAGAAGGATGACTGAATCAAACCAAACTTCACAGTTTTCCAATTCAATTGATCCCATAATTCTGATTAAAAGAAAACCAACAATTGATCCAACATAAGCATCCTATATTTTCAATGTTATTCATGTTTTATATCAATTAATCCACCCAAAATAAAATCATGTCTCAAATAACAATTCGATGCCAAAATTGTAATCTAATAAGAATTATAGTGAAATAAGATTATTATATTCATTAATCAAACCTCAAATTTTCAATTTAAAGTTTTGAATTCGTTTGTCATCGTGATGAATCAATGATAATTTCAAGTAAAATTTTACACTCAAAATGAAAATCATATAAGCTTTTAATTTTCTATTATACAAAACGTTTATTTTAATCTTAATAATTGATGAATGTATCATTTTTCAGTAATCATGAAAATTCTTTAATAAAATTTTATTTTTTCCCCATTCTCTTTGAACCGGTCGAATAGAGTTTAGAATAGTCCTCTATTTTATTTTATTTTATTTTTCACTTTTTGCACTCATGGCAGTCCACTAAACCTTAAACCAAACAAATCTTATAAACACAAATACTTAAATAGTTCCAACCTTTTTTATTTATAAACTTCATTTCCCTTTAAATATTTGAATTCGAAATCTCTAAATTGAATATCCTTTAACGCTATCTTCAAACTTTAACCGGAAATTATTCCTTCGGAAGCCATTTACTTTGTGCCCAAATTAAGGGCTGAACTTGATTACTTTGTTGGTTTCCCTGTAATACCCAAAAAAAGGAAGTTGTTACAGTCGTATTTGAATCTTCAATACTTTTGACCTAATTACAAAGAGACGTATGCATATCTACAATAATTAGTAGGCTGGAAAACCATAATTAGCCAAAAGAAAACATATGACGAAGCTTTGATAATCTTCCCAGAAATTAAGAAAATTCGGCGGTTTGAGTTGTCCACTGTGTTTTACATTTCCAATTCTTGGCATTCAAGCTTTCTGTAATTACGAAGACAAGTTGCTCCACGCAGTTTGCAAACCTCCAAAAGGTTTTTTCGGCCGCCGCTGCTTTTTTATTTTTTTTATTTATATAATTTTGTCACCACCATGAGAAAAAGAGTTGTCCGGTCTGTCCCCACCTTGTTGGCTTTATTCTCAACCCTAATTCAAGACCCACATTTTGCAATTGGTGAGTCAAGAGTTCATACTATGCTTGTATCAAAAACATTAAACGATTCCTTTGTATTCATTGGCAAACTGCCAATTTTATATTACTACATTAACCTATGAGATTATCAAAAATTAAATCGAATTAATTTAATATGAATTTCTTCTTCAATAAATATTTGTTGTTTACGTGACATATATGTAGAAATCGAATTATAACTTCTTTGTTGTTTTTTGATCAATGTGAATATCTTATTATCATAACGAATTAATCATTGATCATTATTTCTATAAACATGTACGAGTCTATTAATCGTAGGATGTTCAATTTTAAATTTCCATTTATAAATCAAATAATGGCTTAATTAGCTGCTAATTATGGATTGATCAACCATGTGAAGCATGAGTGATTGGCAGATAGACTAATTAGGGGCAGAAACTAATTTTGCCACAAGTGCAATGGGATTTGACTCGTAACAAGTGATCTAACCTTTTTGCATTTGCAGACAATCGTAAATGGATATTTTGCATGCTTCATGAGACATTTCATATTATTCTTCATTTGTGTATGGATGTGCCCCACGACTTTGAATTGCTAAATGGCAATGGCGGCTAGCTAGCTAAAATGTAATAGAAAACAGCAACAATACAAGCAAGAAATGCTAAGTTGCTTAATTTGAAACCCCACCATTTCATGTATTATTTTGTATCCATAGTCCGAACTTATCAAAATGAAGCCTTAATATATTCTAAACATATATTAAATTGTTAAAAAGTGAAAAGAATGTTAACTCAAAATTTCATGCTATATCCCACATTCTATTGTGGCAATTCTTCGTAGCTTTTATCAGTTTTTTAATAGGCTCTCAAATCTTTGTTGGCCAAATAATTTTTTTAAAAAAACCACTGAAATTATTAAAAAATAAAAAAATAATGCAAATAAAGAATTAAAATTTGGTAAAAAAGAAATACTGGTATACTTATATCCGAGCATTTTGTTCATTGGTTAATGCATTATCTCTCTACCTAAAAAAATGATATATATTGAGATTATGTATCAACTTATTCATAACAAATGCAATAATGATTTCCTCGCATTGTACAAAAATAAATAAATAAAAAGATCATTTGGTTCTGTTTGGATGATCGGAAAAGTTGAGAGGAAAATATATATATATTTTAAAATAAACAGGTGGTTAACATACAAAAACCCATTTCATTTTGACAACTCTTAGTAAATTAAATTTCTTTCTGTTAATGTTTTTAAGCTAGCTATATGAAATTGAAAGGCAGAAGAAATTCATGGTATTTTCTTTTTAGCACTTTTTTGTGAAAGCAAAATAAAGCTTTAGTGATCCTCTAGACAGCTCTTGATTCTAGAACTCAAATTAATTTAATGACAAAATTCCATTATGTCCTAAAGGCCCCCAACACATTTTCTTGTGATATATAGTGTTTAATTCGGCTTGTTGTAGGTTATTCTATTTCCTGCTTTATTAGACAAGACAATACCCCCAGCATTAATCATCATTAATCACTTTTTCTCGTAATAAAAAAAATTGAAATCAAGAAAGAAGGAAGAAAGGGGACCATGTATATGCCCTACATCATGTTAATTTTCAGACCCCATGACGGGCCCAAGAGAAAGGTTTATCCTCCCCTTAATCGTTTATAGTAATATACATATTGAGGAAGGACTATGTCAAAATTTAATCGAAAAACTAAATAATAAAAAATATAAACCCATAAACGTGTTTGAAGGATTATGCAATTCGCAGAAAAGTGTTGAGAGGTCAAGTAATCAAGGCTTTTTTTTTTCTCTTTTTTTTTTGGGTTATGCTGTCAAACAAAACCGTAGAATTCTACAATTCTTCGCATTGAAAATCAAATTCACCCATTAAACAAAGTTTATCATGTGTAATGTGAAACTATAAATACGAGGTCTCTGATCAGCGTCTTAGTCCCGCTCCGGCTCTCTCCAATAACTTCCATACAAAAGCATTTAAACCAATTAGAGGACACTTGGAACTCGATCAAACTATATTTACCTTTGAATCATTCCTTTTGGGTTAGCTTCTCCAAGGAGCCATGCAGCAACGTTGTGCTTCATCTGCCAAGAACTTGTGCCGCAAAATCCTGCAGCCCCGAACCGCCATCCAGGCAACTACTCGACCTCCCTGTGATATCTTTATTAACCATCGTGGGATCGATACAAAGAGAACCATTGCAGGGTTGCTTCATGACCATATTTTCAGGCTGGGGCTAAGGCCTTTCCTGGATAGCAGGAACATGAAGCCTGGGGACAGGCTATTCGAGAAAATCAATCCGGCTATCCGGAACTGTAAACTTGGTGTCGCAATCTTTTCGCCCAATTATTGCGACTCCTACTTTTGCCTTCATGAGCTTGCTCTCCTAAAGGAGAGCAAGAAAAGAGTTATACCGATATTTTGTGATGTGAAACCGTCTCAGCTTCAAGTTAAAGATTACGGAACACGTTCAGCCAAGCAGCTGCAAAGGTTCAGCTTGGCTCTTGAGGAGGCAAAGTACACCGTCGGACTTACATTTGAGACTTCAACAGGGTATGATCACTATAACTTTTTTAATAGAACTGAAGTTTCTTCCTTTACAATTGATTTTGCATATATATAGTTCCTCTTTTTCTAACTAATTTTGCTTTCATTTCCTTTTCTGGGTATCCAGGGACTGGTCAGAATTCTTGAATACGGCAACCGACGCTGTCATTAAGAACTTGGTGGAGGTGGAAGCCGAGAATTCCAGCAAGAAAAGTACATTTATTGTTCAGGATCGTGAACAAGAATGAAGATTCTTTGTTAAATTGTACCTTTAACCGCAAGGTTCTTTCATTTTTTTATTCCTCAATTCAATCAATTTTTTTGTGTAGGAGGAAACCAGGTTTTCTTCCTAAACACTTGGTAGGGAGATCTCCAAATAAGTTGTAAAATTTTGTAAAATTCTTCTTCTTCTTCTTCTTCTCTTTCTTTGATCTTCCATCATTAACAATAAGTGAACAAATAGGTGCAATTCTAAACCTGTTGTAACATAGATTTTGGACAGAATTATTCTTTTGTAATACGTTCAAGATTCAAATAAATTTGCTTTTCTGTTTCTTCATTGTTCCAGCATAAGCCTGTAGGGTCTTCTCTATCTTTCTCTATCTTTCTTCGAAAGAACTTGAACATGTGGGAAGAAAAGCTGGTGCGGATACAACACCGAAGTTTCAATGATGAATCTGGGTTGATACCCAGAAATTTAATTAAGAGTGAGTAACGGCTATTTGCTTCATATGAGAAAATTTCTTGGAACGTTGCATCGATCTGTCACCGCACTCTAGTGAAGTTTTCATGAATTTCTCTCAACAGTGTTGTTTTAGAGCGGGAAATCTACATATATATATATATATATATATATATATATATATAGCGTGTACTATGTATAATTAACGTAAAAAAAATAGAAACAGAAGCAAAATCAAAGATTAATTATTATATTTGACTATGAAATTAAACAATAGCATGCAAGCTACCTAAAACTGATATGCATAAATTTTTCAGATGGTTAAGTCCACTGAATATAGTACGTAAGCATGGGTTTTAATTAACTTGGTTGCTTGGAAGGTGTATGCTAGTTATCCTTTTACCAATTGTTTTGGAAATTTAATATATTAAGTTCAAGTGATTCTTTATTACATAAATTAAATAAAGGTTCATATTTGATATATGGTCAATATATAATATTTATATATTATCATTTAATTGCCGAATATAACAATATATATTTTTAAGAATATATCATGATGTAAATGTGTAAAAACGAAAATTTGAAAATTTTTTTGATTAGATATTTTTAAAATCTATACATTAATCGTGTATCAAATATAAATTCATTAAATGATAGATATGATAATTTTATAAAATAAAAAATTACCATCCACAATGTAATTAATGCATAAAAGAAAAAAAAACATGATTATATGATAATTTTATAAAATATTAAATTTGTTATTCAACACGTATGGTATATGATTTTATAATAAATAATACTCTATGTTTCATATATATATATATATATATATTTAAAGAAATGAAACATTGTTTTTGGGAAAGGATAAAAAGGATGAAAATTTTTGAAAGAAATAAAACTTTTTTTCTCTTTAATTTGGTAAAAAGGAAATTGGAAGGATTTTTATGCATATTTCTATACTTTTTTTTGAAAAGTGTATATTTCGATACTTATAAATCCAATCATAATGAAAGAAAATGGAAAGAAAAATTGAAATAAAATTATGCACTAAAGGAAATGAAATATTATATAGTCTAGCAATTGAAATGAGTTATCCTATTAATCATTTTAACCTGAAATTTTTTCCCTTCTATTTTCCTTCTCCTATACCAAATTACTGGAAAAAGTAATATTTAGTTTCCCCTTCATCTCCTATCTTGTTTCCCTTCTCCTCCATTTTCTTTTCACCCCTATCAAGCACAATGAACAAAATATATAAGAATCATCTGAAAAAATAATAATAATAATAAAAAAGAATATGCAGTTTCCAATTGTGATAATGATATATTGATGTATCAACATTGACTTTTTTTCTCTTTATCTTAACTATAAAGCTAATTGGAGAAGATCTATTAGCGTTGACTCTGAGGGGTTGAAAAGAAGAAGTGATTTACATGGTGAAGTTAAGCCAAGTATCACATGCTCGGCTAAATCTTTGACGCAATTTAATTTGCAAAGAAATGATGGGGATCTTTCCTGGAGTTTTGGTAGCTTTTAGATTCCATTGTTTACGGTAAAAAAAAGAAAAAAAAATCAAAGCATGCTTCCCCATTAATTATTTCTAATTAAATTTTTTGTTTCTTGACATACATGTATATCAAAGATCGAAAAGTTTATGAAAGTATAATATTTTATCAAAATTAAGTCGGATGATTTTTTTTTATAAATTTAATTATTTATTATAGTTGAAATAATAGAAAAAGACTATGAGATATATGTTAACGTTAAGATTTGGTTTGGATATTTTATTTTATATATTTAAAAAATAAAATATATTCATGCTTTTATAGAAGAGATAATAACTGTTAAATCGATAAAGTTTTTTCTTTTCAAAAAAAGAAATTGATAAAGTTCGAAAAATCTTTATTTGTTTTTATTAAATAGGTCAAGCAAATAAAGGGAATTTTTATGTTCTTTTTTATATTGTCCTGGTACACTACCGTTACGCAAGATAGTTTTATAAATTTAGTTTTGAATAAATGAAAATTTTAATTTGTTTTCTTTTTTAAAAATGAATATTGAAAGTGTCCCAACTAGAATTGACCTTATTTGGGGATCCAAAAAGAAATGCTTCCAAATTTTGAAGTCAACTGCTGCAAAGACGAATTTCTCTCCTTCCTAGTCATGGTAAAAGATAACAGTATCTCTCGTGATTCTAATTGCCGTCTACTTTCCTTTTTGGGTTTTGCCCTTTTTGTCTTTCCACGTTTAATTGTTTCCAAGGACATGAAAGCAAGAAAAACATGCGTGTCCTTAGAAGGTTTACATTCGCTATAACAGTTCATATATGTTTTTGGTAATGGATACACACTCTATATAGAATTAGTGCAAGTAGAGATGAATTATGTAATTAATTGTAATTTGATTTAGTTAAATATAGTAATGTTTTACTCTTGAGTTCTTGACTCAAATGTTGAACCAGCCCTTCTTGTCCCTAGCTTATCATGCGAAACATGCCTTTGAAACATTTAGGTGGGCAATAATTTTTTATTGTACCGTTTGGGTTTCGATTAATAGGTTAAAATTCTGATAGAACCGGTGGGTCATTGACCAAGTTAAACATATATGATCGTCGCTTGTCAGGTGAACTTCATCGACGAAGCAACAACTGAGGAATTGTTTATACATGAATATATTGCTGCTATAATATATTTGATCTTGTGCATGGAGTTGAACCTATGACTTTAGCATTAGAATAAAAAAGAAATTAATGGGTGGGAATCCTAATCAAAGCACGAGCCAAAGAATTCTGGCTTGTCGTTCGGTATGAATTATGAGCCGACATTTAGAGCAAATCAGCAGCTTAAACAAATGGTATCAAGCAATAAACACTTTTCAATTTCCTTAACGGCCATTGAGCAATCACTATTCAATTATCAAGTTGTTGAAAACCCCGTATCATCCACATTCGCTTATGCCCAAACCTGCAGCCTGCTAGCTGCCAAACATAGCCTGGTCATCCACATTCGTTTAGAGTACATCTGATGGAGACAGAGGTGTCCAAGCCTCATGCAACCCTGCTCTGTCACTAATCTGAGTTGTCCTAGCTTCATCCATTATCCTACAAACTGTCGCGTGCATTCAGCTGCAAAGGAAAAGCTCCTCCCTAAAAGCCACAACACGGTGAAAAAACTGACAAGAAACCAATTCCTCCCTCCTTGTTTTGCTCAGCTGCAACCAGCTATCCATTGAAAGAACCCCAGGACACACCTCCCTCCACAGAAAATCATCCCGGGCACTGCAACATTTATCCAATAAGATGCCTCGGGCTCCAAGATTTTGTTTGTTAGGGTGAGATCTCCTATACAATATCCAAGACCTTAATGGGGGTTACCCTTCTGTATTGAAGGGATAAGATCCATGACCTTCCCCTTGACTCTCTCGTATCCTAGTACCAAAATGAAAAAAGTTTGACATATTCAATTGATAAGTCTTGGAAAGTGACACAAGCTTGGTTTACTACATGTTTGCCATTCAGATTAGAATTCCATTTTCTTTTGTATTCTCTCATACAAAAAAAAAAAAATCTAACTCATATCATGGATAAGCTGTGGAGGTGACACAAGTTTGACTAATATTTTATGAGATTAATATAGTTATCCCTCTTTATGAGGAAAAAGATTCTTTCTGTTGGCTAAGAGAAAAAAGCTTGGAAAGTGATACAAGATTGGAGGTGACTGACCAACCCCCAAGGGCCAAGAGAGATAAAAGCTTCAAGATTGATATCTCTTCACTCCCCTTGAATTGATTCACTACACAATTAATACTTCACGAAATTGTTATAACAATCCCTCACTTAGAGGGATTAAATTTGTTTATAATTATCCAAAGAGGGATAAGATTCAAGATATGAATCTTACTAGAAAAATCTTGACTTGTTGATGATCAATTTGATAAGTCTTGAGAAGAGATACACAACCATGGTTTTCTACATCGTATAATGTTGTTCTGAAAATTGTTATATATACAGAGGCTTGGAGCCTGGAGGCTGGTCAGAGTACACCTATGATTTAACAGTTGCTTCTCTTTTGCTTTGTGATAATGTCATCTGGATTAGAAAAGGATACTGAAGTGTCCCACAGTATATAGGTAGCAGTAAAAGCAAGGATCGTATTTAAGAGGGTTGTGCCCCAACCGACAACCGGTCAGTCACCTCATTCGTGCACTGTCAAAGGACTGTCCTCTTCCCGATTCCCATCCCGCGTTTTCACATTTCTTGAGCATATTTATTTCACTCCAACTACAATTCAATCTCTACTTTCGAAAACCAGAAATATTTCCTCCCTTTCCTTTTCTGTTGTTTTGCTTTCTCATCATATGAGTATGGCAAAGGGATTCAGAGTCAAGTTTCTTTTTGTTGCTCTTCTCAACCTTTGGGCCGTCCACCAGGCGGCTTGTTCAATGAATGTCAGTAGCCATGGACATCAAACTCACTCTCGGTTCCTTCTGGACAATGGGGTTTCTCGCACTCCTCCGATGGGGTAATCCTGTTACTTTTGCCTTCTTTATTTTAAAGGAGATTACATT